TGAATCTTCCATATTTTGAATGGTAATGAACTTTATTCTGTAGGCACTTTTGGCAAGAGATCGTGCCCGAGCTGAGTTCCAAGACTGGGAGAAGAAAGAGGAAGAGGTAAAATGCATGAAATATAGCAACTTACGGCTATTGTTTCCTGTGCAGTGTGATGTCTTTATTGGATTCCCGCTCTGTGATTTGCCAAAATTAACTCATTACTGACATGTAATATGTTTAATATACAGTTTCATTTTGACCAAAGCAAAGTTAGGTCAGAGATCCGGTTACGCGAAGGTCGTACCAAGCCGATTGATATACTCACTAAACATCTAGATCCTTCAGATGATTTTGAAGTAGAGATAAACGAACCGTACATGGTGTTTAAGGCATGCTCTTTTCTAACCCCCATTATTTGTTCTCTATCGTTATTATTTCAGATAATGCTTAAACTGATTATATTAGTTTTGCAAATTTTTGTTTGCAATTTTTAAGGAAAAATGAGTTTTGTGTTTGATTCTCTGTCATATGTATTATGGGTTTGACTGAGATTTCTTTTATTTAGGGTTTGACTGTAATAGAAATGGAAGAGCTTCATGATGACATAAAGTTGCACCTTGATCTAGACAGGGCTACTCCTACGCACATAAAATATTGGGAGGTATTACGGCTTTCTTTTCTGTTTCTTGTAATTGCACTTGTATTTTGAGGATAGAGTGCCTTCTATTGTATGTTGGTTTTGTTTGGTTTGCATCTTACTAGCTGTTGCTGAATTGTTTTGATTTGCTTGGAGTTCTTGATTTGCTTAGTCATAGTGTATTCTTAAGTATTATCCACAAGTTTCAACATGGATACCTTTTGAAATGTTTTGATGATGCCAAATGATTGACTGTGGACTACTGGTTCAACGAAAATTAGATCTGGTAGCTTATATGCAGGTTCTTTGGCTAATACTTAATTCTTGAGGGATAAGTTTATGGTATACTTTCTGTTGTATTGATATATTTGTTAAAATTTAGCAAATGCCACTTTTGGTAATTGAATAATGAATAATTGTGAGGGTTGAGCCCTAATTCCAGATGATTTATGTTGATTCATGATGTTCTGTTTTGTTGTTTTTATTTTCCACTTGATACTTGTCTGCTGCTAAATCATAGTTTTATTCACATTTGAATACTTTGGAATCTCCGTTTAACTTCATTTATATGAATGGCAGGCCCTTCTAGTAGTTTCTGAATGGGAACTAGCTGAAGCTAGGAAAAAAGATGCATCAGAACGTGCCAGGGTGCGTGGGGAGCAATTACCTCCGGAGATGATTGGTCAAGAAAGAGGTTTGCATTCAAGCGTTGAAGCAGATGTTAGAAATCTTTTACAAGGAAAAACTTATGGTGAACTAGAAACCCTGCAATCCCAGATAGAATCGCAAATGCGATCTGGGACTGCCAAGGTTGTCGAATACTGGGAGGCAATCCTCAAACGCCTCCACATATACAAAGCAAAGGTAATTTTTACATTCGGATCTGGTATGTTTGAAAGCGCTTTGGTGTTGTGGTTTTTGACATTGTACATGTGTAAATGCAGGCTTGTTTGAAAGAAATCCATGCCAAAATGCTTCGGACGCGTTTGGAGCGCTTAGAGACTACACAATCTGAAGGTGAAAATAACAAGGACGAATTGACAC